TTTGTTGGGTCGAGTGGGATGGAAGGTTTGTTGGGTCGAGTGGGATGGAAGGTTTGTTGGGTCGAGTGGGATGGAAGGTTTGTTGGGTCGAGTGGGATGGAAGGTTTGTTGGGTCGAGTGGGATGGAAGGTTTGTTGGGTCAAGTGGGATGGGTTTGTGGAAGGTTGGCGGGTGGAAGTTTTTGTTTTTTTGGGTGGAAGTGGTGGGTTTATGTAATGGAGGGTTCGTGGTGGTGTAAGTGATTGGTTTGTGAGGTGGAGGATCGGTGAGGTGTCGCTGGTGGTGTAAGTGATGGGTTTGTGAGGTGGAGGATCGGTGAGGTGTCGCTGGTGGTGTAAGTGATGGGTCTGTGAGGTGGAAGATCGGTGAGGTGTCGTTGGTGGTGTAAGTGATGGGTTTGTGAGGTGGAGGATCGGTGAGGTGTCGCTGGTGGTGTAAGTGATGGGTCTGTGAGGTGGAGGATCGGTGAGGTGTCGCTGGTGGTGCAAGTGATGGGTTTGTGAGGTGGAGGATCGGTGAGGAGTCGCTGGTGGTGTAAGTGATGGGTTTGTGAGGTGGAGGATCGGTGAGGTGTCGCTGGTGGTGTAAGTGATGGGTTTGTGAGGTGGATGATCGGTGAGGTGTCGCTGGTGGTGTAAGTGATGGGTCTGTGAGGTGGATGATCAGTGAGGTGTCGCTGGTGGTGTAAGTGATGGGTTTGTGAGGTGGAGGATCGGTGAGGTGTCGCTGGTGGTGTAAGTGATGGGTTTGTGAGGTGGAGGATCGGTGAGGTGTCGCTGTCGGTGTAAGTGATGGGTTTGTGAGGTGGAGGATCGGTGAGGTGTCGCTGGTGGTGTAAGTGATGGGTTTGTGAGGTGGAGGATCGGTGAGGTGTCGCTGGTGGTGTAAGTGATGGGTTTGTGAGGTGGAGGATCGGTGAGGTGTCGCTGGTGGTGTAAGTGATGGGTTTGTGAGGTGGAGGATCGGTGAGGTGTCGCTGGTGGTGTAAGTGATGGGTCTGTGAGGTGGAGGATCGGTGAGGTGTCGCTGGTGGTGTAAGTGATGGGTCTGTGAGGTGGAGGATCGGTGAGGTGTCGCCGGTGGTATTGTGAGGTTGAAGAGATGGGATGAGGAGGTTGGTAAGGGAATAGGGTTGGTGGTGTGCAGTTGGTGGGGTTGGTTTTAGGGGTTAGAGGTTTATAGGGGTGGAGGTTAGAGGTGTTGGTGGATGTTATGGGTTGGGTAATGTGGAGGTATGGTGGATTGGGGGTATTAGGTGGGTGGGGGTGTAGGGTTGGTAAAGTGGAGGTGGTTGTTTTTGGGGTTTAGAGGGTTGGTGGGGTGTTTTGAGGGTTGATGGGGTGGCGTTTGTGGTGGGACGTGGAGGGGTTAGGGTCACACGGGTGGGTTGTAGGAATGGTGACGGATATCAAATATTTTTTTCCCCTTTGCCTTCTTTGATACCTTTAGGGCGTTGTAAAAAAAATACATTCATGTTTTTAAAAAAATAAATTGTGGTGTCGAGATATGTGAAATCTAAGACTTAATGCGATCTGGTGAATTCAACTGATATTTGATTGAACATGAGCGAACAATTCAATGTGTTAGATACGGCCAAATCAATAAATTGGAGACAAATGTATGCATGCATATAAGCAAGTATATTTCTTTTCGATTATTTGCATTTTGCATTTAAATTAATTCAGCTTTTAAGTGACATGTCATCCATAGTGTAGAGACAATGTTTCATTCCTGGTAGAGGAATAGTGAATACATTTTATGTTGTTGGGAAATGTTGAAAGAATTCAACAACCCTTAACAACAAAGCTTTCATATAAAATCCTTCAATAAGTTAATATCAAGCAATAAAAAGAAGGGTGGGTTGGGGGGTGGAAGAATCAACAAAACATGCGTACAACCAAAGCACTTTATAAGAATCCCAATTAGTGCTACCCCGACCCCCGAGGCTCGCAATCGCAATTTTTTTTTCCCCATGCCCCTGAACTATTTTTAATATCACATCCCTGAACTATTTGAATATTCTAATTACCGACCAGATTTCACACCCAAGATTTATTTCACCCAATATTTCAAAAAAAAACAAAAGAAACCATTGCCCACCTGAAAAATGTGAAATAAGGTGTTGCCGTAGGCAACGAGTCATGTGCCAAGTTCAGCTCGATAGGATTACGGGAAGTAAGTCAATCAGACGTCCGAAATTTGCCAACCAGCCAGGACACGCTCGGTGAGGAAGATAGAACTAAATGTTTAGTCAGTAGGACACGCTCGGTGAGGAAGATAGAACCAAATGTTCAGTCAGTAGGAGATGCTCTGTGAGGAAGATAGAACAAATGTTCAGTCAGTAGGAGATGTTTAGTGAGGAAGATAGAATAGTAGGAGATGCTCAGTGAGGAAGATAGAATAGTAGGAGATGCTCAGTGAGGAAGATAGAATAGTAGGAGAAGCTCAGTGAGGAAGATAGAATAGTAGGAGAAGCTCAGTGAGGAAGATAGAATAGTAGGAGATGCTCAGTGAGGAAGATAGAATCGAACCTTGCCCCGTCTCTTAAAAATAAGACCCACTTTTTGTATTGGAGCAGAGGACAACCAAAGAACGATCCAGAGAAGTGATAAAAACAGTTTGTTTGCCGCCAACGTTCCTTTAAAACCAGCCACCCTAAAGATATCTCACTATCTTGAGATCAGCGTGAGAACAATGCCGGCACCTTTTCTTGTTTACTCGACGGTAGGCAAGGCGAAGAAATAATTTATGTTAGTTTAAACAAAACAACAACGACCACATTCTTTCATGTTAACATGCTGGAACCGACGAGTTATTATTGCCACATCCTTTCACAAAAAAACAACAAAAAAACACAACAACACACGTTTTATGACTCGTTGCTGCAATTACCTCGCCCTATTCCCTATTCTTAAATGCCTTCAATTGGAATGCCCACTCCATCACGTATTTTGATGAAGATAAAAAAATAGACATCGACAATAACTAATCCCCTTCCTTGGCATGTTCTGCTATGCATTTAATACAACTGTGTCAATCTATGAATTGATACTAATCTATCTTTGACATGATACAACTGTGTCAATATGTGAATCGATGACCAATCTGGAGAACAGCAAGCAGACTGAAGTTCTGGTGATGGACTTCTCAAAGGCAACTCCAGAGATTGTGGGATCCAAGGTACTACCAAAACATGGATCTCTAGCTTACTCAACAACCGCTGCCAGGCAGTAGGGGTGGACGGTGCAAGCTCCTCCTTTGTCGGTGTTAAGTCAGGGGTCCTCCATGCTCGGTGCTGGGCCCCTGTTTGTTCCTAGCATACACCAATGACCTACCTGAGAAATTGACATTCCAAGCAAGACTGTTCGTAGATGACACGGTGGTGTATATGACGATCGCCAACAGTTCTGACCAAGACCCAGCTACAACAGGATCTCAGTGGGTAAGCTGAGTGGGAGATGAGCTGGGACAGGGAATTTCACCCTGCCAAGCACCAGACACTGTCAGTCTCTAAAAGCTGTACTCCTCTACACATGGTCACATATTTGGGCCAGTTTCCTCCTTAAGGTACTTCGGTGTTACCATTCAAAGAGAGGTCCGCTGGGGACGAGCATATTAAAAATGTGGACGGCCAGGTAAAGAAGACCCTAGGGTCCTTAAGGCGTATTCTAAAGATCGGAAACTCTGGTGTGAAAGAAAGAGCCCATAATGCCCCTGTCCGGCCGCTTTGAGATTACGCCTCTTCAGTCTGGGACCCATTTACCTAGAAGAGCATTGACAGGTTGGATGCCGTCCAGCGACGGGCAGCACAATTTGTCACTGAACCGCTACAGGATTACCTCTAGTGTTGGCAGCATGCTGGAAACACTGGGTTGGTCACCATTGGAGGAACGACGACGACTATCCAGGCTCTCCTTG